TAGTACTATTAAATGAGTTCAATCCCCAGTACTAAAAAATAAAAATAAAAAAACTTATAGGAAATAAGAAAGACCAAGATGTTTGCAGAAAAAAAGAACTAGGTAGGAAGAATAGCTCTGCCAGAATGCAAGACTTATAAAATCATCTTGGTTAATAACAGTGAGGAATGGGTGCAAAGATGAATAAATCAGTAGAATTGTTCACAAGCCCAAGAACAGACTCATTAAGTGTTAATTAGCTTTTGCCATAGGTATCATTGCAAAGGAAAATTTCCTGTCGCAAAAATTTCCCAAGTCAATTGAATAAAGATTTATCAATGGGGAAAACATTTTAAATATGACCCTTCCATTATGTTGTATGTAAATAAGTTATTATAGGTTGATATAAAAGTCATAATTAGTCTTAGATGTGAAAGATAAAACTGTAAGTCTTCGTGAAAAAATACAGAATATTTTATGATCTTGTGGTAAGAAAAGACATATTTTACAACATGACACAAAAAAAGGCACTAAGCATAAAAAGAGGAGATCAATGAATTGGACCACATTAAATAAGAATTTCTGTTTATCAAAAAATGTAACAGAAAGAGTGAAAGGGCAAACATATATGAAAAAGATTTCATACACACAATTGTCAGAGGTCTCATATCCAGAATATAAGAATGTGTCTCACAAGTTGATAGAAAAAAATATATAACTCAATAAAAAAATGGCAAGAAAATCTGATAGCACTCCACAAAAGAAGGTACTCAGTTGCCCAGTAAATAAATGGAAAAGGGATCAGCCTCATTTATAATCAGTGAAATGTAAAAACTGAATGCAAATTGAAGTATATTCACCGAGAACACTAATCAGAATGGCTGAAATTAAGAGAAATGACCATAATAAGCATTGGCAAAGATGTGGAGTAAAAGAACCCTCATAAACCAGTGGTGAGGGTGAAAATTGGTGTAATCTCTCTGGAGAATAGTTTGGCATATCTACTAAAGCTAAGCAAACATGTACACCATTACCCATCAACTCCACATGGGCATCAAGAGACATGCTCAATAATGGTTCCAGCAGCTGTGTTTCTAATAGCCCAAATTGGAAACAACCCATATGTCCATCAGTAATAGAATGGTTAAATAATTTGCACTATATTCATATAAAAGAATTTGATATAGCAATGAAAATAAATTAATTCCAGCCATAATATGTATGAGTCTCATAAACATAGATCAAAACAAGCCCAACTCGAAAAAAGTTCATATGGTTTCATTTTTTTATGATTCTTAAACACTATAGCACTTGGAGATAGCTGGTTAAGTGATACATTTAAGAAATGCAAGTAAATTATTGCAACAAATATCTAGTAGTGATGATCTCTGGAGGGATAGGAGCAAGGAGGCTTGTAGCAGGCCTGAGAAGGCTTTTTGGGCACTAGTCCAACTCTATTTGAGTGGCAGTTCTGTGGATATGTGCTTTGTGATACTTAATTGAGCTGTACATTTTTGTCCTAAGTTTCTTCTTGTACATTTGATAATAAATATTTAGGGAACAAAAAAGAGATAATATCAGTGACACAGATGCTGGGAAGTCCAGGCTGATTGCTTTCTAAGTTGACATCAGCCAATTTGTTAGTGTTCCTTAGACTGAATGGTGCCCCTTAAAGAACCAAAAGAATGTAACATGGAAGCTTAGTATTGGGGTCCACCCAGGCAAAAGTATAGGTTGCCATGCAAATTAGATATAAAAATAGCTGGTTATGCTTCACTGCTGGGTTAATGATATGCTAGAAATTTATTTGGATGGCTGCTTCCTGAGAAGCCAGAATCAGGGCTGCAAAAAGGCTCTGGTAATTTGGGAAGACTTGGAAAGAGGGTGCTGACTAAAATGGTGGTCTCCTTATGGCTCAATCCCACAGCTTCAGCCCAAGATTTTCCTGATACACCTTCTGGAGCTCCAGGAAAGCTGAAGGAGAAGGTGCTAGAAGACCGCATAGAGACCCTGGGAAAATAATGCTTCCTCCTCCCACTGCAGGGAATGACAGGGCTAACCGAAACAATGAGAACTCTAGGTGTGTGGCACTTGTACCTAAGAAACATTCACAAAGCCACATCTCCATGGAATCTTGTCTATGCTGCAATCTCTGCTCTCTCCCTCCTTTCTCTATGTTCCTCCCTCAAATCTTTTGTTTTCAGAAAAACTGCACCCTGCTTCACTAGAACAAGAGCCTGGAAGTTTCTTACTGCCATGCTGTCCTTGGGAGTTGGTTGTGCCAACTTTAGTAGCAGCTAAGGACCCAGTTCTATCTGGAAGGAGAGTAGCATGTGGCACTGGTCAGGAGCCTTCTAGATGAAATGATTTCCTCTGTCTAGTCCAATGGTGAAGACATCATCTCTAAGGTTAATCTAACCTAGGCTTGGAGCCAGGAGTCTCTTCCTGCCTATGGCTATGTGATCTTGGCAAATTTCTGGGCATATGTAAATTTTAAGTAACAATGCATAGAAAGCACTTAGTATGATGCCAGATACATAGAAAATACTCAGTAAGTGCTACTTTATTATTTATTATCATCATAAGAATTATCAACATCATTATCATCATTATCCAGACCTAGGAAATGACAGAGCAATCTCTTTAGTAGAAAACATACAGAAGCAGCCTGTGGAGACAGTCACTCCCTTCCTCCTTGCAGAACTGTGCAATTAGCAGGTGGTGTGAGACTTTAGCAGTTCTACACAACAGAATTAGTACACATGCTTTCTTGACCCCAGCTCAAGATAGCACACAGTCTTCTCTATTGGCTGAGACTCTATTTCCTGCCTAGGGACAGAAAATAGGCTGGATCTCAAGATGGGAAAATCCTTGGCCTGGCCTCTTGTTTCTCAAGCTATGTAGATTTTTCTACAGGACTAGAAGGTGGAAAAAAATATCTCCTGGTAGCCACCTTTTGCTTCCTTCTCTGTGTATTTTTCCCATATTTTCTACCACTGTCTCTAATGTCACTCCATCATGGTCTTAAGAACTATCAGATCAGTGTGTTTCCTTTGAGCATATGATGTAAAAATACCAGTATCAGAGAACATGGCTAGGAAGAATGGCCACTTTAATCTCCACCCGAGGTGAGACGCCAAAGAGAAGAGGCAAATTGTTATGGGAGCACCAGGCATAGTGAGCAAGAAAGAGGAGGGCATTTGAGGTTGGGAAAATGAAGACTGAGGATGGAGCTAACAGCTGAGATCTTCTGGGTAACACTGGTTGGCATGATCCATACAAGACACTGAAACAAACGATGGAGAAAGAGGATATGATAGGTTGTCTGCAAAAGTAGCCACAATTCCTACTGCCTCTGTACATGTGTGTTGTCCCTCCCATCAAGAACTAGAGTCTATTTCCACTTTCCTTAAACCTAGACCAATCTTGCGACCTGCTTAGGGAAATGAAGCAGAAGTTATGCTGTGTCATTTCTTATCCTGAGCCTTAAGAGGCCTTTGAAGCTTTTGTTTGCACAGTCCTGGGGTCCAGCCACTAAGTAACAAGGGTCATAATAAATCATCGGCTAAAGAGAGAGTAAAAAAAGGCCCAGCCTGGGCTGGGGATTTAGCTCAGTGGTTCTGGCGCCTGCCTCACAAGCGCAAGGTCCTGAGTTCGATCCCCAGTGCCAAGTGCCAAAAAAACAAAACCTTAGCCTCTCAGAGTGCTGAAATTACAGCATGAGACAATGTGCTCCCCTTCAAAATACATATTTGGGCTGGTGATTTAGCTCAGTGGTTCCGCCACCTGCCAGGCTCAAGGTCCCGAGTTCAATTCCCAGTACCAAAAAAAAAAAGGCCCAGCCAGGTCCACTCATTCAGGCCACCCTAGCTGAAGCATGAGGCAGGAGCAGTATCCGCGAAGATGATCCAGCCCCCTACATGAGGGACTGTCTCCCACCAGGTGGAGAAGAACTGCCCAGCTAACCCTGGGTGACACACTGATTTGGGGAGGAATAGGAATTCCTTACCGTTTTAGTCACCAACTCTTGGGCTTTTTTTTTTTTTTTTTTAATGTAGCAACAGATAACCAAAACAGAGAGTGATTCACAAGCAATCATTTAGACACTGAAAGGCAGCTCAATTAACATCACCAATCCCAGTTTTAGAATATCATGCTTATTGATCTTTCGTGCTTTTGACAAAATATCTGTTTTAAATACACACTGTGGACAGTATGCTTCAAGTGGGAAGTCAGTGCCAATAACCAAGACTGCTCATGGGCTTGTAATGAGCTAAGAAAAGAGTGACATACACAATGACAAACAATCATGTTGAGTCCTTCCCTGCTATGTCCCTCAGGCCACAGGCAGAGGGACAGGGATGTTACCATCATCACTTCATTTTATCTTTGAAGGTAAGACATGTAAGGTGCCTCATTTCGCAGACTAGGAAACACTGAATCTTAAAAAGCAGAAGCATTTGCCCAAGACGAAGCCATTAACAAGCACCAGAGCAAATATTTGAATGAAGAGCTTTTTGGCCTTGGGCTCTGGGTGCTTGATCTCTGAATTTTACTGCCCTTCCCAAGCTACAATGCTCTAGCTGTCCCTTCAGATTACAGGGGGTTGGGATAGTTGGAGACTTACAGAGAGGCTCTTGGAAAGTTCTCTTCTCCCTAGGGAAGAGGTAAGTACCTGGGAGGGCTAGGGTGGAGGCAAGAATGAGGGGCACCTGGTGTCTGAGGGCACAGGGCTCCCACTTCCCAGGAGCAACACTTGGACATTTTGCAGTCTCACATTCTGTGTTCCCCATTTTTAAGAACAGAGCTACCTCTTTGAAATCCATGATTAGTCACAGGTTACTTAGAGATGGCGCTCTGTGGAATTTCCTCTTGTCAGAGAAGGAAGAAACCTCATTTCTGCCCTTGTTTAATCTTGGAAGCCTTCCTGGGAGAGTTCAGCTTTGAGCTCTGTTTTGGAAGCAGTGAGGGAGGCAGCTGGATGAATGCTAAGTAGGACATTTTTAGTTTGAGCAGTGACTCTTGAGATGCTGCAGTGAAAATCTTAGTAAAGTGGAAAAAGGCAGAAATAGTTCATTTGTTGTATAGCAAAATTGCAATTCAAAATAATTTCCATGGCTTTCAATGATGGACTAAAATCAACAAAAGAACCTCTAGCAAAAAAATTGAAAAGTAAACTCCCAAAGGTAGGTGCAAATGACCCTTTATATGATTTTAAGTGGGAAGGGGCTGGTTTGTAAGCAGTTCACAGGAAAACTTATTTGAGGGTTTGGTTGAACATGCAGAAACTCAGTATAATTCAACAGTGTGATGCAGCTGCTAAAATATTCAAAGCAATCTTGTGTTGCATAAATACATGCTCATTGTGCCAGTTTAGGTTAAGGGAGGGGAAAATGACCAAAAATGAAGCCTGGGTGTAGTTATAAATGACGCTCTTTCAAATGAATATAGAGTTTGAGCTTCCAGGCAATAATCTAGATCCTTCATGCCCGGCCCCATCTGTGCCTCCCACACCCAATTTGGATTGATCAGATTCAAGGTCTCCTGATTGAGTCATGTTTTCAAGGGGTAAAAGTTTCAAAAGAATCAATATGTACAGGCATATGATATGGTTTCATCCTTTTTTTCTTTTAGTTTCTCTTGCCCAGGGCCTGCTCCCAGCCATCTCTCCCTCTGACTGTCTCGCTTCCTCCCGCTTTCCTCATGTGACAGATTTAAAGCCCAAGACCCCCAACTCAGCCTGTGAAGACCTGAGACAGGAAGCCAGGACCAGTTCTACTTTGCATGTCAGAGCCAACAGCCTCTCTTGGTCTCTCTTGGTCTTTTTATTCTGATGTGGTAGGTAATGGTGAGTCTGCTGTTTCTCACCTAAGAGACTAGGATCTGGGCCTTAAGTGTGGCTACTGAGAATACAAAGAACTGGGAAGACTTTAGGGGAAAGCCCTGGTTCTGGGCTTCAGACTGACCCTGGCTTATAAAGAGTTTTCTACTATACTGTAGTCTAGCTGTGTAGTCTTGTTTTGGGATTTAAGGACACTACCTCAACTCATAATAACATTGTACCTCATCTATGTATATATTTTCTTTGGGACTGCTTTGGACTGAATTGTGTCTCCCCTTCTCTCAGTTCATATGCTGAAGCCTCAGTGTGATAGTATTAGGGATGAGGTCTTTAGGAAGTAATTAAATTTAGATGAAGTCATAAGAAAGGGGTCCTCATGAGGGGATTAGTACCCCCACAAGAAGAGGCCAGAATATGCACACTCTCTCTCTCCACTATGTGAGAACACATCAAGAAGATGACCGCCTACAGGCCAAGAAGAAGGCCCTCACAGGAACCAAATTGCAGCACCTTGATCTTGGACTCCTCAGTCTCCAGAACTGTGAAAAATGAATGTGTGTGGTTTCAGACACCCAGTCTGTGGTATTTGGTTATAACTGCCCAAGCTAACTAATACAGAAAAGTTTGGAGACAAGAAATTGCTTGGGGTCAGGGCCTGGGTGCTCTTGTCTTGCTGGCCTAATACACCATTGTAATACCATCTCACTCATAAAGCCAATCACCATGCTGGCATTAATGCGCTAGAGTGACTAGAGGGATACCACCAAGAAAGAGAAGGGACTTGAGCCATAGTATGTGAGAATGATCAGGGAACTAGAGTTGCTAACGTCTCCTAAGTCTGTGAGGTGACCCCCGCAGTGGGGTCATTCTTTAGAAGGGAAAGTTAGGGGTTGACTCCTTCCCAGTTTAAAGCTGTTTGGAGAGACAAACTGCCCACTTGAGACTAAAAACACCTAATGATAAAATCTTCCTGATGAGGAACCCAAGAGGGAAGTGTTAGAAAGAGAGAGTATTACAAATCCTGCCCTAATGACACCTTCAGTAAGGCTCCTACTTGCCATCATGGTGAGGGTGGCAGAGTTATAGGCTGGGGACCATGTTGTGTAAAAAGACAGTAATAGTCCCTCACCTCACCATTGAAGGCTTTTTTTTTTTCTGTCATGAAAGCAGAATAATTCCTCTTTTTTACGTGAAACTCTAGGGATGGCGGGAGATGCATTTGACACAACAAAGAAGTTTGAGAGACTGGGTTCCCACTTTCTACTAAATACACTTGGACAAGGCCACGCCAGCTAGAGTGGACAGAGACTCATTAGAGATGAGAACACAGTCTGAGCCCAGGGACTGGGGAAAATACTCACCGAACAGCCTTGATCCAAGAACGGAAAATGTCCTAGAGTAGAAAAATTGCCCAGGGTGACAGAAGGGTGTGATAGTCATCTCCCATATCACTACAGCTATACTGTAGAAGGTAGTCCCAAGGGAGAGAGCTAGGATGAACAGGAAACGTAACAAAAAGGTGATTTGGGGAAATCTGAAGAAAACGTCACTAACCCCAGAGCTGCACACTGTTGGAGATGCTGATCTGTGAGGAGGTGGTTCCTTGCTACTAGAAGAGTTTTGAAACAGGGCAGGGACTCTTCTGCTCAGTGACCTGGATACTAGAAGCTCTCTATAGTCTTTTCCAGCATCAAGCAAGAAAAACACCCTCACAAAAATTGAACACCAAAACTCAGCCCTCAGAAGCAGGCATACATAAAAGAGGGATAAATTGCAACATAACAATGACTATAAATGTCAGAGGAATTTCCAGTGGATTATCACTATTTCTGGTGAATAATTTTTTCAAACTTATTTGGAGATGATGTCACTTGATAGGTAGACATTTATACGTGGCCTGCTCTTTCTTCCTGGTGTCACTGATGAGATGGACTTCTCTGTAGGATCTATGAGCAGAAAGTCTCTGGCATAGAGTGAACATGGCAAGCTCATCGATTCTCGAGCAAAAAGTCTGCTCTACTCCAAGCCCTCTGTGTGTGGAGAATTCCGCAAGAAAAGCCTGCCTCACTGCCTTCAAGAAGCTCAGAGCCCAGAGGGAAGGCAGCCACGTGGACAATACATATCTGGACTTCAGTTACCATTTGACAAATGTCAACATCTGAGTTTGAGCTCTGCATTAGGCACTGAAGATTTATCAGGGGCAAGAACATTATCCTTGAGGAACTAATGCTCAATGGAGAAATCAAACAGTAGATGAGTCACCTATAAAAAATTTCATGGCAAAGGAAAAATGATGAGAAATGGAAAAAATGGAAATAAAGTCTTTGTAAATAGGGAAGGGTGGAGGGGGTAAAGGGAAGGCTAGGAATAGGGAAAAAATAAGAACCAAGGTGCATCATGTAAAGGTACAAGTTCTCAATGAGAAATGTAAATGTGTTGTATACCTAAAATGTACCAATAAAAGAATTTAAATAATAATAAAAAAATTCATGGCATTGGTGCCCAGTGCCTTGATGGAAACATTTTAAGTGGGAGGATAGATAGTGAGACGGGTGGTTACCTGTTTTAGGAAGAATGATTAAGGAATCCTCTCTGACAAGAAAACAATTAGGTTTTGGCCCAAAGATTGAGAGGAAGCCAGCCAAGTGAGGAATGCAGAGCTGAGCATTCCAAGGAAAGAAAACAGCTACCATAAAGGCAGGAAAGATCTTCTGTGGTAAGGAGATAGAAAAGAAATCATTGTACAGTGTAGCAGGAGATGTCACAAGATGAGGTTAGAAAATGGCAGGAGGAGGATTCTATAGGTCTTTGTGGGATTTGAGAGATTTTCTTTTAAGTTCAGTTTAAGATCGGTATTCACCATTTGGGACCTGGGGCAATAAAAATTCTTAAAGGATCAGTGAAATGTTCAGAGTCCTCCTCACCAGGACTCTGATGCCTTCTTTGAGAATGACCTTCTTGTCCTCTGTCCCATCTCCTGACTCAGCAGAAGAAGGAAGTTCTTCTAAACCATAGAAGAATTTGGATGCTTTAGAGACTTCCAGAGAAAGGTGTTTGAAGAAATCAGAAGAGTTCTTAGGAGACAGGCAGTAGAAAAAGAGGAAAGACTCCTGAAGGTAAGACCTGGGACTCTATGTCTTTTGAGCCCATTCTTTGAAGGTCACTAATGGGATAAATCTCTCAGCATGTCTTTCTCTCCATACCTCTACCTCGTGCCCTCTAGAGCATCCCCAAGGGAGAGAGAGTTGCAGGATATCTCCATAAAAGTTGCATTTTTGGAAAGCCCGGGCTTCAGTAAGCCACTGCAACTGCACTAACATTTACCACATCAACTTTGGAGAGGAAGGAGCCCCGGAAACTGGTTCAGGCAGACAGCAGGAAACTTGGGTACATCTCTGATTTAATCTTTTCTTTTCTGCTTTATTTTTAAAAATCCACTTTGTGAAAATATATGGTCTCCAAGTTTCTGAAAAGGGAAGCAGCAAAGAAATTCCTTCTGGTGTGAATGAAAAGAATTACATAAACCACAGCAAATTTAGTATGAAATTACATTGCCAGGCCCAAAGAAGAAAGATACTTTTCCATCTTGGATTAGCCATGTTCAAAGATCCATTATTCTGAGTCCACTGCTTGTCCACACTTAAAGGGACATAGTGACATGTAAGTCTGGCCGTATGGGGCAGAAGCTGCTGGAGGACACTAATTATCTGACCTTCCTTGAGGGATTTGTTTTTTATGGAATTTCTTTCTTGTATTTATGTATGCCTTTTCTTTACTTTCTAAACTGGGACTTGGACTCCTGCTGATTCGCAGGCTCCATTAGATCAGAATTTCATTCCTCTTGGGGTTTTGCAGAATTCTCACACTTCTAAAGTCATAAAAGGCCTGCCTCTATGGAGGCTCCTTGAAGCTTCTAGGCTACAAAGAGAGATATCCATACTTCCCATATGGATTTGAAGTGCAAGTCTGCCAACTTCTAGCTCTGTGACCTTGGATAAGTTACTAAACATCTCCAGGCTTATTTCCTCATCCACAAAAAGGTGATAACAGCACACATTCACCCCTTGCATCAAACAGGTGTGGAATTTAAGTGAAGGATAGGTTTGTGACACAATTGGCAAGTGCCTGAATCCTAGTCATTATCAACACAACTTAGCTACTTTCACAGACAGTTCCTTTCAGTTGTTCTAGAAGCATCTGTCCTCTCCATCAGAAATGTTAACTTCCTCCAAAGGGTGTTATGTAGTCCTTATAATGTGGAAGCCCAGCTAAACATGCTTCATTTATTCATTCACTTATTTGAAAAGTGTTTATTGAGCTCTTACCGTGTGCCCAATGCTGAAATAGTTTCTGCTGATGAAAAGATGAATGAGACACCATGTAGACCCTCAAGGATTTACTGATATTAAACAAGACACAAATGAAAGCAACGTGGCAGGCTGGAGCAAACCACAGAATGAACAGGCAGAGGGAAGTCCTTGCTGAGGCTGGGCTTTCCTGAGACATCCTTGGTTCCTGTGTGGTGAATCTTGGACTTAGAAGCACCCAGCAGTTAGCATGGAGTTTTCCACAGCAGCTCACCACAGACATGGGAGAAGGCTGTGAATGCTGTCAATCAGGTCAGGCCAACTGGGAGTCTCGGCTTGACTTCAGGGGTTCTGCAGCACCAGCAGAGCTAAAGTGAGGGTAAGACCACCAGGAAAGGCAAGAAGATATAGGCTATAACTGTGGAGACAAACCAATGGCACACATGATGCAGAGGGCTGTTTGTATTACTGAAACTTCTGAAAGGTTCACCACCACAGAACTATATCCAAGTCCAAAGAAAGGGACTATGTAGATCATAAGTTACAAAAGCACAGACTGGCTTTAAATGCCAGCAGAACCAAGAACAGCAATGAGGACAAGGGTGTGGCTCAGGAGACCAGGGGAGCTGAGGGGAGAACCTTGAAGCTTCCTCATCCACCAAGAGTTTCCATAAAGCCCTCTCCTGCCTTGTTCAACTTTGGAAGAGAAAGAGGAGACAGGAACAGCATCACAGACTAAGCAGCTTTTGTCTGGGAAACTGGCATTCCCTAAAAGGACTACTGTCTTGTGGGGTGAGATCAAGCTCGAAACCAGATTGGACCTTTAACTGTGTTTCTCATTCTTCTGTTTCTCGGGGAAAAAAATGACCAACTTAGTTATAGAAAATGGAATTCACTTTTCTCACTCTGAGTTGTAACCCACTTCCCTTACATGTATGTGTATGCTTAACAGCTAGCAGTGTGCCCAGAACAAAGTGACGTTTGATCAATTTCACAAGCCTTTGTGGCAACAAAGTAAAGTTGCAGAACAAGTTCTATCTGGCTCTCTGAAAGCCATTTCTGAAAGATATAATCACATCAGCATCATGCTGTATATAGAATACAGCCCTGGGCCATCACCATTTATTCTCCAGTCTTGGTGCCTGGACCACCCCCAGAGCCTCACTCTTCTGCATGTGGGGAGGAAAGTGACGGTGCATCTGGACCTGGTGCCAACATCCGTGCTGTGCCTGGGAACTTAGTCTATTTTAAACCAAGTTGCCAGTGATGGACCAACTCCATGTTCTTTACAAGCCCCCCTTCCCTCACATACAATCCCCCCGCCAACACACAGCTGAGGAGAGATGCCATGTGGGTGCAGGAGATTTTGGAGTGGAAGGGTCTTGGCTCTCATTCCCTGAAGAAGTCAAGGTGAGTGTAGGGTGAGAAAAAAATAAATATGTGAAGCCCCCACCTCACTCCTAGGGAAGACTACACGCTAGTATGTTGCCAGAATGAATGGGTTGTCCTCCTGGGAGGGATGATGGGAAAGGATAGTTCCTGCCCTTGAAAACCAGACAAAGATTTTATTTCTCTTAGATCTTGTGCTTGAATTTTTTTGTCCATGTAAGGCAGTCTGTGTCTCCAATTTGGGGCAGGTGAGGATGTGTTGGGAGCAATGCTACAGAATTTTAGGGGAAAATCATTTGGTTAGCCTAGTTCTCCTGCCTTACAACCCAGCTATGGAATTCCAAGACATAATTGCATTTTGGCCTCCGGTCACAGCTGAGACCTCAATGATCCGGTGATGCTGTCTGTGATTCTCCAGGACAAGAAACATCCTGGGAGCTGAAAACATCCTGGGAGGAACAAAACATCCACTCAGTTCCTCATTATTCTTGGACCTTTACCATCTTGTTTACGCGGATGTACTGAACTCTCTGCAAACCATTTGTTACCTTTGTTTCTCCCAATGTACTGAATAAAAGGTGCAGTAAGCTGGGGGCTTTTGTCTTTGCTGCCCAGAGCAGCACTGATCAGACCCGAAGCTCAGCTTCTTCTCAGTCTCGTTTTTCTACCTTTCCTGTAGTTCGCCATGTGCTGCCGTGGCTCACAGGAGACCAGGACTCACTGCAGAGGTTCTGGTAACGTCCCCTTCCCCTGTTGCCTAAAAGGATGTTGGGAGGGGAGATTGCTGGGGTGTGGGGATGACATCATGAGTAAAGGGGGGGTGCTGTGATATCACAGACATGTGGGAACTTCCTGAGTGAAAAGTCTGGAGGAGGACTACTAGCTCAGAATCCTATTTCTGGTTTTAATAACAGCCCTAGTGACAACCAACCTCATGGGAGGGGTGCAAACAGGCGGGTTTGTCAGGGAACAATGGTACTTCTTGCTTGGAATGGGAGTTTTCTATGAGGTCTTGGTGGCCTTTAATGCAAGGGTGGGATGGGCGATGTGGGATGCATTTTTAGGAGTGAGAAGGCACAGAGGCATGAAGAAAATAGAAAATGATAGAAAATTTCTGCCACAACAAAGTTTCAAATGAGTCTGTGAAATACATTTGAGGAAACTGTTGAATATAGTGTTGGGGAGAATGGTAAGGGCAGAAGCTCTGCTTCCTCCTAGCTCATATCCTTGGGAGATAATGAATCTACTTGGGCCTCAATTACCTCTTCTGTAAAATGGGATAATTATACCTCACAGAATTGTGAAGGTTAAATAAGTTAATACTCTAAAAAGCTTAAAGTGATACTTTGTACATAGTAAGTGCTCAATAAGGATCAAACATTTTACAGAGAAAAGATCACTGGTGTCAGAAACAGAAGACGGCTTTATTGCTGACTCTTCTGGTGACCGAATGAATGTCGCTTTGGTCCTAAGTTTATTTATGAAAAGAAGATGAGGGATGAGATTGTGTCACCCTCCCCTTCCAGCTCTGTCATTGTTAAGTGCTAGATTCAGTGTTCTAGGTAGAGTTGATAGAAACTCATTTTGCTCCCAATTATCCTGGGCATAGCCTGTGCCTAAAGTCTCACCCTCGGGGATGCAAGCCTTGGAATTTACATATGCATACCCTCTGCTCCCATCTCCAGACAATAGGTATTGAGGTTGATGGGGGTGTGTTAGTAATGCATGGGAGTGAATTAATTCCTCCAAAAGTAAATGGTCCCTGGGAAATATAGGGACACTTAGAGTAGGGGGTGAGGTAAGGGTGAGGGCAAAGGGCTCAGAAAGACGGGAAAAGGAGGAATCATGAGTCTAAATTCTTGGTACAGCATTTTGTCTAGGGTAGGGCTTGCCCTAATGATTTTTATAAGAAACTGTAAATAAAAGCAAGTAAATACAAGTAAAAATCCAATTAGTAGACTATGAAGGGAACAGAAACCGTGCTTGGGAAGCTGAGGGAGTTTGGGGCCAGGTAATGGACTAGGTGAGTTCTTGAGGTTCTGTCACCTGTGAGGTGGGCAGAGGGCTATCTGGCTTCCCTGGGAGTGGGTCTCTGAACAGCCCCGCAGAGTCTGTCCTTTCTGTGCAGCTCAGAAGTTCTGTGGCTTCTGGAGGAAAGGCTTAATTGGCCTTCCACAGAAAGCCCAAGGAAGTGGTGTATTCCATAGTGGCTCAATGATCCACTCCCTGCTGGGCACAGCAAATTGAGCTCAGAGAATATTTGAAATGATCTCCAGTCACCAGGCGGAAACTGGAGTGACACAGATGACAAAATCTTGTCATGCAATCTAGGGGCTGAGCACTCAGCAATTGGTCCAGAGAGAAAGGGGAGGGGAGGAAGGCAGAGGGAATGAGAGATGAATGTA